ACGTTTTAGTTTAAATTGGTATAAATTTGTAAAAAATCTTCTTTAAAGAACCTTTTGCTATAAATCTAGAATATATTCAACAGATTAATCAATTTGCAAAATAATCTTTAGTTGCAGCCCTAAAATGGAGCACATGTTTTTAAATAATCAATCTTTCTGATATTAGTTATATTGAAATACTGATTATATTGATTTTCACTTTTCGAAGGCTTCACTAATGTTTACATGTTAAGGACTATATTGCAGGAAAAGACCTATTAACCCCTACAGTTGCTGCCATAAATATTTGTAGTTCTACTCTGAAACGTTCACTAAAAAATAAAATTCTCTTACTGCTATGTGTTTAATGCAATATTGACTTAAGTCTTTTAGCTGTGGCATCCTTCATCCATCCACTTTTCATTTAAAAGGGCAGAACTGTGATTTGTCATTTAGACCTCTGAACTCTTGTGATCAAATGGATATTCTTTCACAATTTCTAAATCTTAACAGACACATTTGACTCCATAAAGGCAACATTGTCTTCCACTCTAATGGCTGTGCAGCTGTAAACAAGCAATTCACTTCTCATTAGCTGCAGAAAACAATTCACCGAACATCAGAACACTAGAACAGCAATAAAGAACTGAAGCATTGATTTATATTATTCTAATCTCATCCAGGGCTTTAAACTATCAACCATTTGATTCAATCTATTTTTTAAGACATACCCTGCATTTTGGGATAAACTGTTTATTTTATTCTAAGTTATTACATACATTGTCCACCTGATTTTAATTGTTCACATTTTTTTTTTTTTTAATATCTATCTTTAAAAAGCATGCATTCTTTTCTTCTATCAAACATTTATACTGCATTTCCCCCTCTGAATTTATTCTGTTAATGGTAAAGATTCACCAGCTCTGGATTTAGGTTTAACCTGTTGATCTAGATTTTGACAGTCTGTTTTTTTTTTTATTCCAGGACAATAACATCTCAAATTTAGACGTAGCCGTTTGGAAATTAACAGATAACTATGATCTGGCTTTATTTAATGAAAGATTTTTTCCATCAATTTTTTATTCAATCTTTAATTTTTGGTTTACTTTAAAGTTGAAGGCTAAACTTGCATGCTGGTTCAGCCTGGTTCTAAAACATCAGCTCAAGTAGAGATGATTAAAAAAACCTTATTTACTGCAACAGTAAGTAAGGACCAAGTAACCTTTGCATGACTTGGTATCTACGGTTTTTCCCTGATGGTGTCATCTTATTTCTAATATGAGATGCTAAAGTTATTCTAAAAAAAAATCAATCCCTTTGTCTTAAAATAACTGTTAAATATGATAAAACATTCATACTAATCACACAGCTCGGTTTGCTGACAGCACAATATTGAGGACCGATTCCAGACTGAACCAACATTTCTTAGTGCCTCTGTTTTATTTCATTTAGAGGCCAGTCAGCAATGGTTATCTGAGCTGTGGCTTTAACTGTGAAGGATCAATGGCCCCTGGATTTAGCAGAGTGAGAGTTTGATTATTTGTCGACAATTTGTTTTCTACAAAACACTCTTCACATTACAAGCCAAGCTTTAGCAAAGCAGTGGGAAATTTTTCTCCACTATTTGTACTTGGATTACAATAAGTTGAGCATTTTTTAACACTTTCCAGGAAGCCTGCTTCTGTTTGATTCTTCCAGCACATTATGATAATGTGATTGCTGTAGCACAACATCTGCCAGGTGCATAACAAGGTGTTTGTGTTCAGCTGAAATTGTCTTTATGTAAAACAGTTTCTTGGTGCAGATCCTTATTCTTCGGGTGAGTTAAACATGAGACAAACACTGTCTTTAAGTCTAAATTGACCTGATTTTTCATGCATTAGCAGAAGAAAACAGTTGAAAAAATTCCAGATATAATTGTCACTGTTACATGAGGAGCTTTTTTTTCCCTATTGTCTCATTTAGTTGGTAGCCGTGGGCGGCACTCACCATCTGCAGCTTTGGCCCAGTCCCACAGTCTGACACACAGTGAATCAAAACATGTAATTTTTCCTGCTTTTTATATCGTGATGCAGCTAGTTGGCAAATCTTATTGATTCTCTTTAAATTCATTTTTTTTACTTTATTTAAGTTGGTCTTTGTCATTTGTTAAGCCCTGCACCTTGTGTCTCTGCTACATCTGGAGATTTGTGGAGCCTAAGCGACAGCAACTATTGCTCCACTTCCTTCACTCTCGGCTAAGTTTTAAATTATCTTGATGTAGCTACCAACTCCTAAGCAACTGGTCGGCTTTTATTACAATAAAAAGCGTTTTGTGATTCCACATAATGCATTACATTTGATGCAGGCAGTAAATTATCCCACTCCTCCATTGTAGAGCGACTGATGTCCCTCGGTTACACGGTCATATCTGTTGGCTGCAGATGGGAATGGTCCATACTGTCAACAGATTGTGAGCGCTTTCATTCTGCTGTTTACTGCCCTTAAATATCCTTGACAAGCCTTTCAGAGGGTTGCTGTAAATGTCACTGCATTGTAGTTAATTACACAATTAGAGGTACTGAACTTGTTTTATGTTTTTGTTTTTAGTAGTGCCTGGTGGAATCACAAACAGTTTTCAATTGACTTTAACATCACATTCAAACTTTCATTTGCATAAAACTAAAAACACTATGCAGATGCTGAGGTGAAGGATGTTAATTGTGTCTCAAGTTGGGTTTTGAGAGGCTGAAAACATTTTTGGAAGTATTTTTTTTTCCACCTTGCAGGATGCATCTGCAAGGTTGTGTGCGGAGGAATATTTGAGCTGAATGTGTTTGGGTTCACAGTGTCCTTGCAGCTAGAATAGTTTAGTACAGGCCTGTTTTCTGTTATTAAAATTGCAACAATCAGATGTTGTGGCCAGTTTCCTGTACCCTATTTTCTATAAAGCTCTGTCCGACCCTTATGACTTTTACCTATTATGTTTTTCTTCCTGATGGCCATGAGTGAGGCTTGGTGTGTCCAGTTTTCTGCAGATTGCTCTGTGATTCTCTTAAGTATTAATGCTAAAATTAGTCATCCTAAAACCATCTACTGACCCATATCCAGCCTGCTGTTGGTCATGGCATCATATCAAGTGTAATTTTCCGCCAGCAGCACCCTGCATCCTGGATACTGAAGATCTTAGAGAGGATGCTGTGATGTAAATGTGTCATTAGCAGCAGCTCATATTAAGATGCACTTACCTTTTCAAAGCTGTAGATTCAGACGGTCCATGTTAGAGGGCCTCGTCAGCCTCTTCATGTCAACTTTGAAAATCCCTCAATGCTTTGCTTTGATAGCTTTATTGCATAAACAGGTAACCTTCCTTTTTGTGATATATGAAGGAGCCAATTATTTTTTTGTTAATAATTAAAAATGTTTTTGTGCATAATCTAGCTAAGTTTATTTAACTTTAATGTTTGATATCTGTTATAAGATTATGTTTTTTGGTTATTTGGCCATGGTCCTTTATTTTTGGTTAGTTTGGATTAATTTAGGTCAATTGTAGGACCAACATGCATCTGGGTGGGCATATGTTTTTTTTTTTTACCAGCGCAAGAGAAACATGGAGGAAATGTTTGTCTTTTTTGTTTGCTTGCCTGAGGAAAAAGTAAACCGAGAAAACTAAAGGATTTTACCTGGCACTTTTTTTCTTTTGCCTGCGTAAAATAAGTCCATGGTGCATCTGTGGCCTTTGTGGATTTCCAGTTTTTTGTGTCATCAAAGCTGGGCCACAACAATATATTTTAGGCTGATTCCTCAGGCAGCAAATAAAAGGTAAAAATAATCAGACATGGTGGATTTATGGATGTATAGATCGATGGTAAAGTCACTGTGTTGGCCAATGTGATACAGGAGTAATGCAGATTTAAAATTTTCTATATGGTAACTTTTTTTTAGGCTTAAGTTGTTTTCTGTCTAATAAATTTGAATGTAAATATTATCAAAACATTTCCAGAAATGTAACTTGGCTACTAGAGCATATTATAGCTTCATTGTACCTTTAGTAAAATAATGCAGGCCTTTGTTGTAATTTTTAAGAAATATGTCTTAAGAAAGGGGTGTTTCAGAAATATTTCTATGCATTGAACAAATGGCCAGGCCTTCTTTTGCATGAATTCCTACCTTGATGCGGCATGACATAGAGGTGACCAGCCATCCAGGTTGTTTGATAGGGTGTTCATATTTCTACAGACATTTACACATAGATCTTCTATGAGAGAAGAGGTCAGGACAGTTTGTTGGCTGATCAAGCACAGTACAACATGGTCATTAAACCAGCTTTTTCTTGGCAGTTTGAGAAAGTCTCCATGCAGCCTCAGAGAAGTAATTAGCATAAGATTGTAAGTGGATGGGTGTAACTGTGGACGTTTTGGTTTCAACCATCTAGTTCTGGTGTTATCTTGCATCTGAGGGACGATGTTCAGCTCTTAAAAGTGGATCAACAGTTTAGGCTATTAGCAGGTCTGTTGAGGTCCGATCTCCTGCAATTTAGACGCGTCTATGCTTCAGTTCACTGGGTCAAATAATCAGGTCATTAGAGAACTTGACTGGATACTGAGGAGCCCAGACCTTGAGGAACCTGCTGTAATTTAGCCTTATGATCCAGGTGCGTTTGATACCTCTGATCTGTTTCATTAATGGTGAATTTTAAAAAAATTAGACCACTCTCTGTGTAAATTATTGCACATTGTTCAATGTCACCCCACAGAATAATATTGTTTAGCTTTTTTGGGGATTAAAAAGATAATTTTGACCTCTCCAGAGGGTAATTGGCTTGTTAACATGTTAAGAGCAGCGATTTGTAGTGAAGCTTAAGGGGAGGTCTTAAACCCTTAAGCACAAAAAATGAAATGACCGACATCAATGTCCATGACATGAATGACTGCTCAAAGTGAAACACTTCCAGCAGTTTATCAGCAAAAACTGACCTTGGAATCTGAATGGATGGAAAGTGTGCACTAGATTAATAACCTCTTTTTTTCTTTTATTTATAGCCGTGTTTGAAAAGGACCGTTCCTGCTGACATCATGGCCTGCTTCTGAATCCAACATACAGTAAGTTTTACAAAGAAAACAGAACAATCAAGCATGATAGTTAGAACTTTTATCGTATTTTTAAATCAGTCAACTGATACCAATTCTCTCTAGTTAACGTAACATACAATGGACACTGAAGTTTATTAAACATGTCAAAGTCATTTCAGTTAAGGAATAAGCACACTATAATATATGTACTCCCCCATATACATTAGGAATCATCCTTTGTGTCATTTTTTAATATAGACAAAGCTACAGCTCTAAATTCCAGGTGTTTTTATTTTTTTTATTTGAAACCCCTGCCTCTGTCTTTAAATATCATGAATGATCTAGATGTGAAACTTGTAGCCGAAATCCATCTTGAGGACAGTGCAGGGTGTGAAGTGTGTTTTTGACTATTTTTCCATGTGCTTTTTAAAAACTGAACCCGTTTGATTTATAGTTATCAAACGTTTCTGCTTTTTTGTAATTCATGACGACTTTGGAGTAAATATGGTTGTACAAGTCAGATTTTATTTCATGTGCTTTACAAGGATATAAATAATGGCCCAAATTACAAAAATCAGTGTGCTGGAAGCCCAAGCCTATATATTAGTAAATCAGCAGAGATGTCACCATATGATCCATATTTTCACTCAAAATACAACCTCTACAATCTACCACTTTTTGACATGTCAAACCTTTATTTTGGTAAATTTTTTCCAGTGCCGTTTGCTGCAAAGTCTTTATTAATTTTTTCTTTACAGTTCATGTATTAACAATGAGTTGGCAAAATATCTATGTACATTTTATAAGTGGATAATGTTTCATCCAAATAATACAGTAATACTGCATTTAAAATAGTAAATCTGCAAGATAAGAGTAGAGCTCCATGAGAAATGGAGGTTGACCTGACCTAGGAGTTAGCAAGCAACCTGCAACATTCACTCTCTGTACAAGTATGAACATCTAAATTCAGATTTTATTTTTTAAAGGATCACCATCATTCTCAGGCTCAAAGTTTTCATCTCAGCATATCATAGAAAAATAATGTAACAATAAGACAACAGTAGACAAGAATTGCACAAGGATTATCATGGTAATATAATACTCTCATAATAAACATTAAAATGTCGGGCAATACGAATACTTTAACGCTAGATGCTGTTTTGTTCACATAGGCTTGTCATGACAATTCTGTTGCATCTTTAGCGTGTTGTTGCAGCAAATCCAATCACATTTACACAGCTGTGCATATGTTTATTTTTTTTCTGACAGTAAAGAAAATAAGAAATTAGCCAGCCAGATACCCTGGAACCCATGCCATTATGTTAAACATGCCCACTGATGTCCTGTATCCATTTTCAGACTCCATGGAGAAGCTGGGCTTCATCAAACCGACAGTTGCAGAAATTTGAGGCTGCGTTCAAGTAAGTGTACATTCAGAGCAGACTGGTCGTCTGTCGCGATGCAGTCCTGTTAGTGTGAATGGAGGGGTAACATTGTGGAGAGGCGTCCATGTTTTGTTGTCCTTTTTAAAAAGTGAGCAAGAGGGTCCGTTTGTAGTCCATTTTGCATTGTAAGTGTGACTAGGTCCATGTTTAGGGCTGGCTACATTCTTTGCATTCCACAGTAATAGACATGAGCGTCCGCCATTGCCCTGCAAAATGAGATGACATCACTTATCCAGAGAACCCTCACACCCCGCCTCTCCACTGGCCACCATGCGTCCCACATGCTATCCCCTTTACAAACATTTCTTTCCCCTCCCTTAAATGAAATCGAGATTAGATGTGTTCTCAACAAACACACAGTTTTGAAAAAGACCCTAGAAAAAACAAAAGTAAAGTCTTCCTGTGTCACAGGTCAAGTTTAATTTCACAAAGAAATTCACAAGTTTGTTAGTTTCTCCAAAAGGTTTAATACATTCTAGTAGCCTTCTAGCTGGATCAGCTTCAGTCAAAGTTACTGTGCTACACCTCTCTAAGAAATGCTGTAGAAGCTTGTTGTCATGTTCAGACAACATCCCTCGTCTTTGTCAGCTCCCAGACGCTGCTTAACAGACAGCTAAAACACTGTTACAGCTCTTAGAGCAGTACTCTCTGTTAAATCATTAAAGTTGTCAGAAACAGTTAGACAAAGGGGCTGGTGTGAAGAGAAAAGCGAGGGATAGAGCTTAAAAAAGAAGCGATACGAAGCCATACCTCTATATTGGAAGAAAACTTAAAGGAAAAAAAAAGGCAGAACAAATAACAGAAAAACTGAGCTGACCATCCCACTACCCTGGGTTCAAAGGTCATGCGATAGCCCCGCAGGCAGGAGGATGAGGCCTGGGAGAGCAGAAAGAAAAAGAGAACGCAGCGCCAATCGTCATCATGCAGTGGACAGGCTCAGCTAACGGGGGCGGGGAGGGGACGAGGTGTATAGTATTTGTTTTTCAGCCGGTGAGGTGACACGCCGGCGTGCGTCGCTCGTGCCCAACTCCGGGGCCGGGCCCCGATACAGGGCAACTTCTGAAAGGCACACACACACAGGAGTGGACAAGGCGGGTGTATGTTAGAAAATAGTGGTCTCGTACTTGGTGTTGACTCCTCTCTTTGCCTCCTGTCCAGGCTCCACAATCCACGGCACGTTTGCATGGCCCTTCTGGTCCATGGATGGCTGCTCCATCTGCGGCACAAAGAGCAGAACCAGGTTACAGAGTCATCCAGTGAAGGACACCCACAGGAAAGGTATCAGATCTAAATGAGTTCATCACATTGCAGTCAGTTTCCTGTCCTTTGTAAAACAGGCCCACTGCACCCAACAGTAGGTGCTTTCCCATCTATTTTTAATGGCTATACTGAAATGTTTGATTCTGCTAAACTAAATCTTGGTTGCATTTGACCAAACTTCCAATGAAAGCTTCAGCTGAGTTTAGTACCGTCTAGATAGATGCATTATGGAGATTTGGTGACTCCCCAGATGTCGCTCAAACTATTTATTACCTTCAGTGTCCCATCCTATTTATAAGCCTAGTTCCTGCAGTCTGGAAAAAATATTCAAATTTCCTGTACTATTGTTTAAAAGTTGTATTCATTCTTTCCTCCTTCCTCTGCTGTTTTAATTTTAAAGCCAAGCTGCAGCACAAATATCTGTTGAAAACCCAGCGAGAACCGTGGCAGTTTTAAACTACTACAGGTCGAGCTTTTCACATAACATATTAGACAATTCTTCAGAGATATTAATACCAACCTTTTTTTCTTAGGATTCTATTGCATTAAGGCTACTGCAAAAGATATTTACAGAGTTTTTACGCTTCTTTGCTGCACTATATTAGCCTAATGTATGTGAAGATTACATCTATATCAGCCAGCAGAATGTGCTGAGAAAATAAGGCAAAAATAATGCAGTAACATCAGTTCCATGGTCTCTACAGATCTTTTTAATCTCACTGTGCAAAGACGCTGCAAGTGTTGGTTTTGTCCCTCATATTGTTGAGCTATAGCTTAACAATATGAGGGACATATTGGTAGCTAATAAGCTAAAGACAATAGAAAAGGTTTGGTCAGTTAGGTAACCTGTTGCAAACTTAGGAGGATGTCTAAAAATAGCAAAAAATACCTAAGATGCAGTAAGGCTGGTATCTGAGCTTCACCAAATCTCCATAAGCACAAGTAGATGCCTGTTTAGAAAATGTTCAAAAACCCCTGGAGCATTCTCTGTACTACTGTCACCAATTTAATGTAAAGGAAGCCAGATTCTGCTGGTATGGAAGCAAATTGTTGCCATATTTAAAATGAAAAAGCATTTTAAGAATGTGGCTGCATTGTTTGATTCGTAACTGAAATTAGTAATCAATAATCCTGTTTTAATTTTCTTCAACACTGCTCATCCTTTTACTTAATTAAAATGAAAAAGCATTTCTGGAAATGCTTTTTCATTTTAAGAATGTGGCTGGATTATTTGACTCATAAATTAGTAATCAATAATCCGATTTGCATTTTCTTCTTTAAGACTGCACATTTTATGCCATAATCAAAGAGAAAACACAGCGGACATTGCTTTTTAATTTTTCGTGGTCTGCCTGCAAAGTATTGTCCATAACTCGAAAACAAAAGAGCATTCTGAGTGGCGGGTGCAGCATAGTGACGTCAGCAGCTGCTGACCGGGCTACCCATCTTGTTCGGTACGGAGCACTGTACACGTCTTCATTGCATTACATTGTAAGCGTGCCGGGAAACTGGTTGAATTGCCGAGTCTGACTATCGGGAAATACTGAACGACCACAATGACCAAAACAGTGGCAGAGCTACTGTGGAAGGCCACTGCTGCAACGCCAACTGCTCCCGAGTTTCCCGCCGGCACACTTATAATGTAACGCAATGCAGACGTGCACCGTACCGAACAAGATGGGTAGCCCGGTCAGCAAGAACCTGAGGAAGAGCGGCTGCTGACGTCACTCTGATCTTCCCGCCGCTCAGAATGCTTTTTCGTTTTCGAGTTATGGACAGTGCGTTGCTGGCAGACCACGAAAACAAAAAAGCAATGTCCGCTGTGTTTTCTCTTTGATTATGGCATAAAATGTGCAGTGTTAAAGAAGAAAATGCAAATAGGATGATTGATTACTAATTTCAATTATGAGTCAAGTAATGCATCCACATTCTTAAAATGAAAAAGTATCTCTGGAAATGCTTTTTCATTTTCAAACTTTACATTTCAAATTGAATTTTGGTACGTATTTGCTGGGGTACATCTTGAAAAATAAATATCAAATGTGTTTTCATTTTAATTAAATAAAAGAATGAGCAGTATTGATTACCAATTTTATTTATGAGTCAAGTAATGCAGCCACATTCTAAAAATGCTTTTTCATTTGAAATATGGTAACGATTTACTTCCATATGCTGGGACTCTGCAAGTAAACTGAAAATTGTTAATAATTCAGGAATCAGTGGTTTTATATGAAACATCAGTGAAGATTCTCAGGACATGAAGTTTTTAGAAGACGTTTCTCCGCTCATGCAAGAGGCTTCTTCAGTTCAAAGTAGGGTTGGGGGGATATGCTGGTGAAGATGTTTGCTTCCCATGCAGGGAGCTTTTTCAATGAAAAATGCCAGAATTAGCCTTGAGTTAAAAGCCTTGTTCTGGCTTAGAAAACATGCAAATTAAACCTGACGAACAGGTCCGCCCCTTAGGTTCTTTGTTAGCCTGCAATACCTGATACTGGTCTATGTCTCTGAAAGGGGGGTCGTTAGGAGGAATTGTTTGACTGGCTAAACAGATGAGATGTTCTGATCCCCTGTATGGGGGTTGGGGTTGCGATGATTGCAGGAAGGAATCAACTTTAATACTGCAGTGTAGTTTTTTCTTTCTTAACATGGATGGCTTCATTCACGCCCCTCTAAACCACCTTTGTCGTTAAGGTGTAGATGTAACCCCGAGTCTTGTCTGGAGGAGGTAGCTCTTTTGTGTTGGGCCATGCGTCTGTGGAGAGGTTGTTTGGTTTCTCCAATATAAAGATCAGAGCATTCCTCACTTCATACAACACTCCGCTCATCTTAGGTCTGGGGGTTTTGTCTCTGTTTAAGGGTCGTGTTTGGAGAAAATCCTCTTGAGTTTTCAGTTACATATGGGATGGTCATGTTTTGATGTGTGCCTTTTGGATTTTCTTTGCTGATTTGACAACCACCCACTTTCCGTCATCAGGACCTTACAACACGAGTATGTCCCTACTAAAACCGAAGGGAAGCACACCAAAGATGCTCTTCAAACCAGAGCATTCGTCAAATCAGCAAGGAAATCCAAAAGACAGCAGAACATAATGGTGTGAAGATTAAACACAAAAACAATATCAATCCCATATGTTGCTGGGGGATTTTCTCCAAACACAACATCCCAGTACATTTCAAACCAAACAAGACCCTTAAAAAAAGACTACTGCATCCTAAAGAAAACACCCCCAGACCTAAGATGAGCGGAGTGTTGTATGAAGTGAGGAATGCTCTGATCTTTATATTGGTGAAACCTAATGACCTCTCCACAGAGGAGCTACCTCCTCTGGACAAGACTCGGGGTTACATCTACACCTTATGGACAAAGGAGGTGGTTTGAGAGGGGCGTGAAGGAAGCCATCTATGTTAAGACAGAAAAACCAACCTTAAACAGAAGGGGTGGACTCAGGTTTCAGTTTTCAAAAACTTACACTGCAGCGATGATGCCTTCCCGCTACCATCGCAACCCAAACCCCCATACAGGGGATAAGAACATCTCGCCTGTTCAGTCAAGCCAACAATTGCTCCTAATGACCCCCTTTCAGAGACATATACCAGAATTGGATGTTGCATGCTACCAAATAACCCAAACGGCTGTCCACTCTAGAAAGCTTGGAACTCAACACTATTTCTGACATTTTGAATTAAAAATAAAGTCCAGTGGATTGTTTTTTTAACCTTTTTGGAATGGGGCCAAAAGGTAGCTTTGATCCCTCCCACTGGATTGGTTACAGAGGTCAAATGGGGTTCTGATGACTCGTTAACAGCCTCATTGAAGTGTGAGTCTAATGAGGGCTCCTGAAGAGTTGGCCCTCCTGTGTTGAGCCATACACCTGTGCAGCAGCTGCTTGTTCTCCTCTCAGGCTGTTGCTGGTTGAAATCCAGTGCGAGGGATCAAAGCCACCTTTTGTTCCCCTCTTTGTTAGACCTACCTTAAATTAATTTCAGTGCTATCCACCACTAGTTAGAAATGAAGAAGCCTCTTGGATGAGAGGAAAAACTTCATATCCAGTTGGCAAGACTTAACTTTATCCTTTTTTTTAATCCTAAAGCTTTTTACCAAGTTTAAAACCCTGTCTATTGTATTTACTTTTAATTTCTCTGTCCAGGGACTAAAAGGACAAACACTGAAACCCAGGCCAGCATATAGCAAGAGAATTGGGTTTGCTTTACTAGAGCAATGCTGCCAATATATGAAAATGGATAAGAGATTGCAAGTAAAGAAAGAAGAAACACTTTAAAAGGGACAAACAAAATAGGTTTGAATGGATAAAACTGGAGGAAAAAATGTGGAAATAAAGCACAGAAGAAGGAAAAGTGTGAAGGACCTGGAACTGAGCTTTGTAAGGAAGATGGAAGAGTCGAGGGGGTGGAAGAGGAGGGTGGAGAGGAGGCCGGTGAGGGGTATAAATATGGCCCAGTGACCAGCGGCTGGAGGGAGACATGATAACCTACAGGGGGCAGAGGTCACACTCGTCAAAGTAGGCGAGCTCCACAAACACTGACATCCACAAAACTATAATGACAAAGCAGCTGCACTCGAAAACCACAGCGAAAACCATGGCAACAACATCGCCTTGGCAACAGCATAGGACAGCATCGTTACAGCAGTTCAGCCAAACTCAAGCTGGAAAAAGCAATGTTACGCCACATTAAACCACCAATCTCTGCATGGCAACAGCTAAAAAGACTTTGGGACAGCAACAGAACGAATAGAATTTAAAAAATTGTCCTTTAAGTTAGTCTTTACAGACAAAATTAAAGTTTTTTTTATCTCAAACAGATCCTGAAAACGCTTTTTATTTTTTCATTGTGCAAGCCTTTTACTGTTTGTTTCAAGAGGTCCAAGACTCCAGTCTATACCTGGCATTACCTGTGATGAGGTAAAAAATATTTAAACAATCGGGACAATAAGTATGTTAACTCATTCTTTTACTGTTTAAGAAAAGCAAGATGTTAATCCTAGACTTTCTTTTAAAATGTCATAATTGAACAGAAACGCTTGCTAAGTAATTTTAATAACTTCATTAATTACTTTGATCAAACAAATGGTCTTTTAACAGACTATAAGTACAAAAATATATGTATTTATATTATAACTGGAATAAATTACAATTTGCTTACAGTGAAAACATTATGCGGATGTTCTTTTTAATAATTACAGCTTTTCTCTTTCATGATTTAGACCAGAAATTCTCCACTTTTTCTGTTCTCTGTATTTTGGTTGCTGCTTCCAAACTGTTAGGATGTTTTTGAAGTTGAAGGATCAGCTTAATACAAAAGCCACAACATCAGGACCAAAACTAAACAAAGATGGATGCAAATAGTTAACTCTGGGAAACAAATTTTTGCTAATTACATTTTTTGTGTGGAAAAGTTATTAAATAAACATTATAGGCGATTTTTCAGAGGTTCATCTTAAACATGGAAATATCACATATGTTTTTATTATTTCAGAAGTTTTCAACCTTTGAAAATTTTTATTGTGTATTTTATTTGCTCTATCACTGCCCTCTGTTTATCCAAAGTTTCACATGACTCCCAAGCTTTCTAAAGTCGTTAAACCTACAAATGTTACCTCAGGGCCAGCTAACATACATTCATGCCTGGTAGACTAAAAGTTTGGAACCCTGAAGGCATCATAATGAGATCCCTGGACTACCTGGTTTCTCCTAATGAGCAGAAGGTTGACTTCAAGCTAAAAGTTAAAAAAGAAAGTTAGCAACAATATATCACGAGCCTGCAGGGTTTATTCACAGAGAGGGAGGCTTTGCCGGGACTGGGGAGAAGTCCATGCTGGCAAATAAGTGTTAATTTTATATCCTGTATAAATTAAGAGGTCAATATACCACCCTGTTCTATGTTTACAGTGATTATTTATGGAGTACTTGGCATCTGAGAAGCTTAGTTACAGCGACAGACTACAGCAGCTATGCAACAAGCCTTTTTTATAGAGCTGGCAGGCTTTTCCACCTACGTTTGGAATCAGAATTACTCGTCAGTCTTAAAATAAGAGACTCATGTTTCTGTTCTCTACCCGCCTTGACTAAAAGGACAAAAATTGCATCAGACCACCATCCAACAGGCTCTAAATGCAAGTTAGGTCTAGTTTACTGGGGAAACAAATACCAGCCTGAACATTAAATTTAGACGGCGTAAAGGGGCTGTGCTGCAGGATGATAGGATATTTAGCGTTATCTGCGGCTCACAACAAGCCATTAAAAAGTCCACATACACACACAAAAACACCAGGGAAGGCAAAAAACTACTAATATTTAACGTAGTGGTTACAATGTGTCGCCCTCCATCATCTCTGCACTGTCAGCATATCGGCTCATTAACCGTCTTTCCTCTTCTCGCTGCTCTTTCAGCAGCATCTCACTTCTAACTTTAGACAGTGAGGCCATCCATCTGACGCCACTGTTTACCACCATTACACTGTACGTCTATCGGCCTGAAACACGATACGGAGCCCTGTAGACACACATGCTGCTGTGGCTGACCACGTGTCAGCATGTTCCCACGACTATTTTAAAACCCAGTGTGGGTTTAATGGACTGTTGAGAAACTCACTTTAGGCTGCTATGACTACAAGAGACAAACCACTTTTACACTGACTGATGCTTAAATTACAACGATAACCCTGACTGTCAACAACAATGCTTGTTTTGACCACATTTTGTTGTGGAGAGTGTAACGTTATTAGTTTAAAGAAACAAAACGCTGAATTTCTTTGTTTTGAGTAACATTCAAAGCAGCACCACAGCACAGACTAAACCATAAAATATAGAATATAGAAATGTATGCTTTACTGTATAGAAAACACTTCAAACTTAGAACTCATTCCTGCAGGATAACCCTAAAAGCTCAAACACATTTAACTAGAACAACAAAGTTCTTTTTTGAGCCGTTTCCTGTCACAGGGTTTATACAGGAACGAGTAACTCTAATTCAATGCTTTTTAATTCTCTTAGAAATTATTTTAATACCATCAACAAGCACCCAAGACTCATATATATATATATATATAGAAATAACAAGACAAAATCCTTTGACATCTTTACCGTCAACAGGTTGCAGCCATGTCCCGAATTCCTGCCACTTTTGTTGAAATTAGCATTTTCCAATTCCCTAGATTTTTCTCCGACTTGAGCTTCTTTTCCGAACATACAACTTTACGATCAACTGCAAGCAGGTCCGCACCAGCACGCAAAACCAGTTATATTTGATATCTGACTAAATTGTTTTTATATACGCTTCTTTTTTAATTAAAGCATTTTAAATGCCACGATAATCACATTTAAGGTCTTAATTTAAAAAATTATAGTTTAATGACTTTTAATGATTTTTAATTACCCGTGGAAACTCTGTGTCAGGGTTCCTACAGAATTAAGGAAGGAACAAAATTTTAAAAAAGTTATTTATCAGGATGATTATTCTTCAGGACTTTTATCCATTCATCAACCCTTTAACGCAAAATATTCCTGAAGTCTAAGTCTGGTATTGATGCACCCTGCTCATAGTTTAGAGTTTCTGACTGGAATCCGAAAGATAATTTTGACTATACTGGTGAAGATTCTCAGTCATCCAGGTCATAGTCATTCCAAAAAAGTTAAACAAACCACTGGACTTTGTTTTCCAAGTTTGAAGATGTTTCGCTTCCCATCCAGGAAGCTTTTTCAATTCAAAATGTCAGAATTAGTGTTGAGTTCCAAGTTTTATAGAGTAGCCCAAACAAAGCCTTGTTTTGACTTAGAAACACACAACATCGTGCCGAGCATGAAGGGAAAAATAAAGAACAGAAACGCATCAAAGAGGCTCTTCAAACCTGTGGATACCCAAACTGGGCGTTTGTCAAATCGGCGAGGAAATTTAAAAGACAAGCAGCAGAACATAATGGTGTGAAGATTAAAGACAAAAACATCCCCATTCCATATGTTGCTGGAGTCTCTAAGAAAGTCAATAGGATTTTCTCGTTACAAGATCCTTAAACAGAGACTAGTGCATCCTAAAGACAAAACCCCCAGACCAAGTATGAGCTGGGTGGTATATGCAGTTCAATGCAGTTAGGAACGCTCTGATCTTTATATTGGAGAAACCAAACCTCTCCACAGATGCATCGCTCAACACAGAAGAGCAACCTCCTCCGAATAAGACTCGGCTGTCCATCAACACCTTATGGACAAAGAACATTGTTTTGAGGACCAGAATGTTCACATTTTGGTCAAAGAAGGCCGGTGGTTAAAAAAGGGGTGTGAAGGAAGCCATTTATGCTAAAAAAGAAAAAACAACTCAGGTTTCAGCTTTTAAAAGCCTACAACGCAGCGATAGAGTTGATTCCTTCCCGCTATCATTGCAACACCGACATACCCTTTACCTGGGACCAAAGATCTCGCCTGTTCAGCCAGGCCAACAATCCCCTCTAATGCCCCCTTTCAGAGACATAGACCAGTATCGGGTTTTGCAGGCCAACTAAGAACCCAAATGACTGCCCATTCCTTAGGGGTGGAGCCGTTCTTCCGGTTCAACATGCATGTTTTCTAAGCCAAAACAGGGCTTTGTTTTTGGTCCTCTCTATAAAGCCTCCAACTTATCGCTATTTCTGACATTTTAAATTGAAAAGGCTTCCTGGATGGGAAGCAAAAGTCCAGTGGAAGCGCAACGTATCTAATTAGATACTCATGGAATGCATATATTCAATGATTAAATGCTTGACAACTAATCATCATGGAACTGTATATGCTATGTTGTCTTTCAGAGCTGTGCAAAATATCATATTCTCACTGAGTATCTAAAAGACTGACATGTCATTTTTCTTGTTTTTACCAACTTATCACCAGGCTATTTTATGTTTTTCTAGCACACAATTCTCACAAACTGAAAGATGAGCAAGCGAGCCTCCAAGGAGCACAATGCAAACAGGCCTCATCAATCAGCCGAGTGTGTTAGAGACTGCAGGGACAGCAAGACCGAGTAGAAGCTTAACAGATTAAATATCCACATAAACCTTTGCCACGTTGTCCACTGGGCCAGAACACACACAGAAGACACAAGCAACACAAGATCAGGACTGAGAGATGAAGAAGTCGGAAATGAGCGGGAATAAGATGCTGGGATGAATGGTATGCATGGAGAGGAGAGTAAAAATGGAGGTTAATAAAATGGTGTTAGTGTGGCATTAAAAGCTAATATAAAGATGCTGGATTGAGTTCAGGGGTTAAAAGATGATAAGAAGTGAAAATCCATCCATACCTGAACCAGGTAATAAAGATTTAGGCTATTTTTACTTTTATTTGTCTCCCCCCTCCCCACCCCCAAGTTTAAATGAACATCTTTATTGGATGGATTTTCCCTTGCCGCCGTATCGATGCTTACTGATTTGCGGATGTTGACTCGGGGTTTGGGCACAGGCTTGCCCGGCTTGCTGTCAAAGCTTTCCGGAAGCGTCGCCGATCCATGGCCACTCTTCCTGGCTTGCAGCGCTAACTGATAGGCCACCTCAAAGGCCTGGCCAAGCGTCAGGATGATCTCATAGGCCAGATTCTGAGAAGATGGGAAACATTTATTATTCATATTGCATTTTCTAACAGACTGCATATTTTCATTTTGGAACGCAGTATAGTAGTTGGAAATAAATACATGCACTGAAATATCTGAATACATCATCACTGCTAAGAACTTTAGATGCATTCTGCATGTCGCTGCCTCAAGGTGTGGCGTGTGCAATGATCCAGGTGAATCTGATGAAAGACGGGGTGTCGGGACTCACCACATCAAAAGCAGTGAAGACATGGCAGTAGTGGTGACTGGATTTGAGGTCTTTGGTGATGTAGGCAAACGTAGACAGATCCTCTGGATCCTGAGCTGCACATGAGATGTTACGAATCTCATGCTCTGCTATGATGTTCTGAGGAGAGAGAGAAAGATAATTAGGGGGGAAAAAATGTTTTCTTTTTTTTTTCTTTTTTTTTTTAAGAGAAACAGATTATTATTTATCCAAAATTTATAATCGGCATTGGTTTAAAAGGTTTTAGAAGGTGTTGTTGGAATTTATTCACTGGTAAATAAGCAGAGAACATTCAGGACATGCTATGTTACTTAAGGCAATAAATTATACATAATCCAAACCTTAAAGGAATGGATTTCTTTAATGTATAAGTTAAGTATTTCAAAGTGAGGGAAACTTCAAAGCAGTCGTGAATACTTATAAGTTTATATGCGTGGAGAACATGTCACTGAACAAAAGCTGCATCTTCGGTTCAACTGGATAGTTTATTCTAATCATTGCTGGGAAAGTGACTAAAATCAGCTGTGCTTTGGAGTAGATGAAACAAAATGCTGCTTCTTTTCCTTCCTATAGCATTTATCAGTCTATCATTTCTTTTATCCATTATTCTAGCTTTTCTTTGAAGTATTGTAATACTTCTGCAAGCAAAGTGATGAAATTCTACTTATAGATGAGGCTATATCTATCATTAGTCATTATTAGTAGGTTCTGACTGCTTTCCTTTCGAACAGGAAGGCTGATTAAAGTTTAAAAAAAAAACTAAAAGTGAGGCGATCAGAAACATTTTAAAATAAGTCAGAACCAACATTAAATACTCTGTAATTTGTTGTTCTTGTTAATATCTTGGATTTCTGGGTGTTTTTAACTGTTTTGCAGCAAATATTCTGTTGATTTCAGTCATCCTGTGCATTTTCCTGAATAACAGTGTCTGGAAACTTTAGAGGCATAAAATATATGGCATAATAAAGGAAAGTTAGTCTTTATTATTACTTTTAAAGGAAAAGATAATTTCTCATTGGAGTAGCTCACTTGTTCTTGTTATATTTCCAGTTCAGTACTTAAAACCATGAAGCATTGTTCATGTTTATAATTATAAAGATTTATTTATCTAATTTGTTCAAATCCTCCCTCATATGGTATAGTATGCAGTAAAATTTAAATGAATTAAATAGCTTTATTTAAGTGGTGGGCATATCATTGATTGTTTAATCACATTTTTACTCTTTACCACTAGAGCAACATAGACCATAAACGCTCTTAAAAAAGGAAACATTGCAGTCATAAAACTGAAAATTAGGCACATTTTAATGCCTTGCAAAGAACATTATAATCTATTATGCTTTTCCATATTTTTTTCTTCACGTTCATAATTTGGAAACAAAGATGGATTTTGTCCCCATAATGGAAGAAATACAGAGTTATTTTTTTCCTTCTACATCTATATCAATCTGCTTAATTAAATTTCAGATCTTATTCTAAAAGCTTGGTGATTGTTAACTTTTTCTTTCGACTTGGTTTTGGTAATTTTATCTTCTTATCACCATATGACTTATCACCGCTTGCAAAATTTTACTCTATGTCAGGAGTAGGGCTGAAAAAAGTTGGATTAATCGTGATTAATCGATTATTGAAATAATCGTCAACTAATTTAGTAAAGGATTAATCGTTAAATGGAGTGTAGAGACAGTAAAACGTGCTTTTAGCTGACAGAGTGACCCACTTAGAGCAGTAATTATTTTAAAATTTAAAAAATATATATATATAAACAATATGTGCGTGTATGTGGGCTGCCTTCTAACAATATGCTCTATCTAGAAATCCACAAGTAGAAACGTTTTGGTTTAATTTCATTAAAAATCTTCTTTAAGTAACCTTTGGCTATTAATCGAAAAAAATTATCAACAAATTAATCAGTCCAATTGGAGAAGGGAGATTAAAGAGTTTTATCTCTTTTACACCATTTCTGCTTTATAAACACCCATCTCTGTTTCATTCTTTGCTCTCTCCTCTATCCCATGAAGACTGTAGCCTGTTTGTTCTTCGGCCAGTTTTAAACCAACCACACTTCTGGCCTGTTTAGAGTCAGACATGACACCTCTGAAGGTCGATCTTTCCATCATGTCCGCTGACCTTTCATGTGTTATTTACCGTAGGCGTTGCTGCTATTGTGTTGTTACCTTATTGGTGGCATCGATGAACTTCACTCCTTTGTAGGACACAGAGAGGACGATGGTCGGTACTTTCTTCATCTGTTCCGTAGACTTCTTGGAGAGCAGAGGAAATAAAACATGGAAACAAAGAGGAGAGGCAGCGGTTACCTTTAAACTTATCCTTTTTTATTTCACTTTGTCTCAACCTAGAATCTAGCCCCGTTGAGTGGTTCATTAAATCATCTCTATATGTCACACCCATTACAATGAGCAGAAAATACATTTTAAACCCAATTAATATTAGATTAATTAAATCTTGGCGTTTCATTTGACTCCTACAGTAAATCTAAGTGCTTTTTGATGACATGCAGAGAATAAAACATATATGCAAAAAGCTTTTACTTATTCAAAGACTGGAGTAACTTTAACTTTCCATCGTCCCTCCTGAGAATCTTGTTTCTTTTTTCTCCAAAATCTGCCAACAGCAGCTCTACTTGGCTTTGCTCACGTGTCTATAAATCTGGATTTAAACATCAACCTCTGTTTTTGTTAAGGGATGGATGAAGGTACACTCACAATATACATTGCGTTGCCATTATTTGCAACGTTTAAGTGTTGCAAAAGCTGAGGAAAGAAAGGCTAGGTAAGCTTCTACGGTAAAAGAACATGATGATCCGATCAGGAATACTAAAATCAATCTCTATACTGCAGTGGATCAGAATAGAAGGGGAAAAGAGTCAAAAAAGGAACCATTGATACCAACAACAAAGGAAGGAGTGTCTGAACAGCTGAAAAACCAGGAAAGTTTTATTTGAATGCAGTAAAATGAATAAAAAGAATCCAATTGGACCCTTTAACTGTTTTTGAACGTTTGGTGTATTAAAGTAAAACCAATTTTCAAAGAAAACATAAAAGTGTAAACGAGTGACCATTTTTTTGGGGGGGGGGGGGGGGGGGGTAAAATAAATATAAACTGTGGAGAGACATTAATTATGATGCAATTAAGCTAAAATGTTTTTGCTTTCTGTCATTTCATCACCTCTGATTATGACAGGAAGGATGGAAAAATGTTTTAGGACCTTTTGTTTCCTTCTGCTACAGCTCTGTGTAAACGTCACTGTTAATGTCACGTTTCAAATGGTTAAATCTCTGGTTGGGAATTATGAATCATGCTGAATATATAGATTTTTTTTAACTCTTCCTCTTTTTTTAAGGCGTTACTGATCTTTTTTAGCATTAATCAGACAGAAAATGGCAGAGAGAGGAGGTGGTGGGGGAAAATATAGCAAAAGTCTCAAGGATGCAGGCTGCATATGTGGGCTTCCTTCACTACATATAGCCTCATTGCTTTTATTTATTTTACAAATACTAATTCAGTTTTGCCCCTTATGAGATTTGGTAGCTACTCGTAAGAGTGGACCCTTTTATTATGGAAATGTTTCCATAATAAAAATAACAAAACGTGTTGTTTCCTCTCTGCCAATGCATGTGCGTCTGATTATTGACAGCATTTTTTCATAAAATGTAGAAGTGAAGTACATCAGACGGAGCTTTACCCTCATTTTAGCGCAGGCATCTTGCGTCGACTCCGTCCCTCTCAGCTCCTTCACCAACATGGAGCCCAGGTACTGTTAAAAAGATCCAGAAAGATCCTGTTAGCATGTTTGTCAAGACCAGATTATTGCTGCCTTATAAAACTCCTTTAAATTCTGCTTGATGCTTTCAGATCAACAAATATATTTATTTATTTTTTAAGAATAACAGCAAATTTCAGTGGTTATGGGCAGCAACTGCATCATAGATGTAGGAATTTCTATAAATTAATGGAGGAACCTGCTTATTTAAACATTGAAAGAATCTTGGAAAAAAAAAATCCCTATTCATCTTTAAAAACTATAGATGCATTTTTGAGTCTAGGAAGAAATGGTTGTTATGAAAACTTGATTTTTAGTTTTATTTAATTCCTTTTTTTTTTACAGAAAATGTTAAAGCTGGACTCATGTTTTATTCTCAGGCCAAAATGTGGACCTCAACCTACATTTAATCTGCAGATGGAACCTAACAGAAATGATTGATTCTGCAGTTAGAGTCCCCCTCTCTACTTTCTGTGCAGTTTTGATGATGATGGCTGATAAAACGGTCAGAGAGGAGCTCAAATGATGAACTGACCATCCTGCTGACATTAATGGCACCAGCAGGTTTGACACTCGCAATAGGTATGTGGGAGAGTCTAGCTTAACAATAACACTGTGTTCTTCTTTTTTTTTTTTTTTTTGATTTAAATTTTAGGCAATTTATTTGATGCAGAGAAATGCCAGCAGCAGTGGTTGCATGAAGCTTTACAGCTTTCATTGGGTCTGCTGCCTTCCAGATCCTTCAGTCTGGATGGGATTCATGGTCGGTCATTTTGAACAAGCAGAATTTCATTTAAAACCAGCTGTTAAAGATGGCAGTTTTTTTTTACAGGTCAGTTTTTATAACGACATCTGTGCTCTTAATGGGAACGACACTCAACACCTCGTAGTGCCCATCTAGCTTATGGAAGAGACCTTATTCTCTAAAGTGGGATCATAACAAGGCTTTTAGTGAATTAGACGGGAAGCGCTAGAAGATTTTCCTTCTCATCTGTTTAACTTGACATCAAATGTCTCACATAAAGTTCTTTATATTGATCCCTTATCATTTTTCTGGCATTTAAACAATTTTTTTCTTCAGTGAAGTCTGCTTCTTAGAGTATCTGAAGGTTGCTTCAAAATATTGATGCTTTGCCCCAAGTACAGAGAATAACATTTAAATCATTGATGCGTTGGTGCTGCTGGAAGCTGTCCTGAAAATTGCATTACACCATGTCTCTGTTCCAGTCAATGTGCAGAAAATTGGGTTCTGCTGTCCTGGAAGGTTAATATGTAGGACAGTCAGGTCAAGGAAAGCTTTTGTCCATATGCTGACTTTAATCTACAGAAAGCATTTTTTTTCTTACAAAAATTAAATACCAGATTTGAGGTCAAGATAGAGAACATGGGGTGCAGCAAATATTAGCTTTCCCTTATGTGACTTATTGCGATTACAGTAGAAATTTTATAGTGAACCCTTGCTCAATATAAATGCAAAACATTTTTATTGACAGTTTCTTCCAGATGAGCAAATTTCTTATTAAGTTGATATAGCTTTAATTAACATATATATGACTTCATGTTTTCAATTTTATTATAAGATTCAGTATAATATTAATAATACATTTTATTTATAAGCACCTTTCAAAACACTAAAGGTTACGTTACAAATGAACAACAACAATAATTAATTAAAACATCATCAATATCTATGATCTGTAATAAATATTTTCTAAGATTTTTTATGCATCTGTAGTAGGCTTTGGATAAATGTGGAAGGTGTTTTTTATTAGGGAGCTGATTTAAGACATCAGCAGGTTTAATTAAGAATAAAAGCTTTATTCTTTCTTCTCAATCATGCAGAGAAGAAACATGTGAAAGTCTGCAAACAGATTTTATTTGGTTCAATAAACATCCAGACAATCTAAACAATATTTATTTTTTCAAAGTTGTGTTTTTTGTGTTGATAAATCAGTTTGGTTGATTAAGAACAAAGTTAGACCAGCGAGACAATCAGGATTGGGCAGAGTTATTTAAAGATAACTCACTTTTTATTCAATCTTTGTTGAGAGGCAGTCCACACTGCCTCTCATTTCTTGTGAAGCCAATTAAAAATCTTGTTTTACTTTAGATTAATCTCCCTACAGGTTTCCCTCTATTTTTGTAGCTTAGATCATGATGGGAGTCGGGTGGTTGTGCTGATATCTGCAGGGTTGGCTGAAGGACTTAGTTAAACTAAAGTTTTCCATGCTGTGGCTGGAAGCTGACATAAAGATGCTACCAGAGTCGGTGCTGAAAGTAGCACAGAGTTTTTTTGTTTATTCAGAGTTGATTCATCATTCAGTCCCATGCTGGCTTTTCACCATCCTTTCATTAAAACAAGCACAGCACTGCCTTATCAGTGTCATTTCCATCCAATTTCTAGCTCCTGCCACTTTGTTGGCATTCACTCCACCGTGCCTCTTGCTCATTTATCTCACTTTTTAAATTTCATTCTCTTGTAAATAGAGAAGAGAGTGTTTCTCTACAGGGCACCATGTCTCCCTGGTTAAATAAAATAGCATCTCTGTCTCTCTAGAAAGAACAGATTAGTATAATGGTTAAGTCTTGGCTGATTCTTTGTGTTCAGTCCTCAAACAGAGATCAAACTTTGAAAGTTATGATGAACGAAACTGAATGAGAAACTGTATTTCTTCACATGATAGCGAGGGATAAAAAAAAGTCAATAAAGCTAACCGTATGCAACTATAAAAAGCAGTGGAATATTGGTATTACTTTGTCTACATAACCCAAAAGGCTACAAACAGGTTGCTTGGTAGAGTAGAAGAAAAAATTATTTTCACTCCTACCATCACAAACGTTAACATGAGGTATTTACTAAACTAATCTTGCATTTTAATTTTGGTTTAATTGGACTAAGCTTACACTGATGGAATTAAACACTTCAAGTGATTGATTGATTTTATTGATCTTTCAGTGGAGAAATGTGCTAATGTGTTAAAGGAAGAAAGGTGCATGGAATATATACAGTATACAGTCTACATATGACAGCTTTTTTTTTTTTTTACAGTAGGATCATTATACAGGGTTATTGCACAGGGTTTTTAGATGAATATATTTATATACGTGTTGCTTAAAATTGGATTAATATGTAAAAAAGCACCTAATGCCAAATGTTAAGCAAAGTAAGTTTATTTTCCTTTTTTGAGTACATAGCACAAATTTATTTAAATTCGAGATCAGGTGAACTGAACATTGCAATTGTGCAATACCCTGTGCACTTATCCTGTTAAATAAGAGAGTTTAGACTTATAATACTGTCCTAATGACCAAACCTTGCCAGATGAGACACTGATAATTTTACTACTGGAGTTTTAGATTTAAGATTGGACTGTCCCAAAATATGCACTGATAAAAATAATAAAAAAACAACATTTTCTACAAGGGCCAGTATATTTTCCTGATCTGCAATAACCCTACATCTCAGATCAGGGGTCACCAGCGTGGTGTCTGCAGGCACCAAGGGGCCCACTAGGACCACACTGTGTGCCCTCAGCATCTTCCTAAAGCAACACAATTCAGCAGTGGGTTTGAGATGCAATTTTTTTTTTCTCTTTTGCCTTTTTTATTTTAATAACGTTTGCATTCATAGATATTTCCTAATATCAATATCTAAAGTAAAATTAGAAATTAAAATAAAAAAAATATTTATTATGCTTGAAGTTTAGGTGAACCCTAACTCCTCCATTCAAAGGTCAGTATTGGTAGCTCTTTTTATGTCAATACCTATAAAGTAGCTCTTAGCCTTTAAAAGGTTGGTGACCCCTGTGTTAGATCAACCAGTATCATCGAGCTGTGAAATGAACGGCTTTCCAACGTTACTGCTGAACATTAGCAGCTCAAGTCAGATCAAAAAAGCTCAGAGAAGGTCTCATCGTTGCCACCATCTCACTCCTGACCTCACAGTAACAGAAACATTTTGATTTCTCATCAACTCAGAAGCTGTTTGAGGAGAATCCTCTTAAATCTACTGGATTTATCCTTCAGATCACAGTTTCTCACATAATTCAAATTCTTATGATTTCTACATATAAACACTTAAATGAACATTTCACCTTAAAATTTAACTTTTCTTTGATCAGCTCAAAGTAAATCTGTTCATCTATTATCCTCAGACTTTAGCTAAACAAACTTCAATCAACCGATATTTTAATTGATAATTTAATCATCAGTTAAGAAGTATTTAGTTCATTCCTCTCCCTGAATGAGATGATAGTCTATTATTTCCAAGTTCTTTGCTCATATATTTAACTAACTTGTGCAATAACTAATGTGCAATCACTATTTAATTCATTATGCAACCTCTGCAACCTGAAACCTGTCCTGTTAAATAAGAAACTTCAGCTGTTTTATTTATATCTATGTATATGTAACAACTGAATTTCTCCACTGTGACACAAATAGTTTATCTCATCTGTTATCTTAACAGAACAACACTTATTTGCTCAAACTATTTTTCTGTTTCCCTTTCCATTTATTTCAGGCTTGCCGTCACACGCTGATTTAGCTCTGACTGTTTTACCGTATTTTGTCCTCAGATCAACATTTTCATTTGACACATCCTCTTCAATTCTCACTCACGTATTTCTAATGGAACTTGATTTTTTCTCTGCAGCATTTTTCCTGCTGTAAGTCAGTAATCGCTGCATTACTGTCTAACCCTCGAGAGGTGTGCAGCTTTTTCTGTACTTATGCAGATATGAAACATCTTTTATGTAACTGGCTAAAGGTCTGAATTTAAAAAAACTGACTGCGGGTGAAACAGAGAAGCTTATCTTCAGTGTTTAGTTTCTTTGGTAAAACTGTCAGAATCAAAACATTACTGGGATTAATGAATACAGTTAGATAATTTGCTCTTTTAAAAATGTCTTAATGAATAAAATGAGGAAATTCACAATGTTAGTTCAGTTAAACGTTTACATAAAACAATCATCACGATGACTATTGCATATTTATGGAAAGTACAAGTCAGTAGGTTTGATAAAATCAGTTAAAATGTTTGGTTTATTTTTTCAATTGTTGAAAAAACTCTTTTTGGTATAAATCTGATTGGAGATAAGCTTTGATTTTCTCCAATTTACAAAAGGTAAGCTAATAGTTGATTTAATATACAGATAATCCTTCAAAAAGGTTCCAAAAAGCACCATAAAGGTGCAATTGGGGAAAAAAATCTATTTAATGGGATTCCTCCACCATACTGCTTGGTTTTGCTAATGGGCTGCTAATGCTACAGATTAACTGAATGCTGCAGATTATCTAAGTAATAATTAGATTTACCAGTTACAGCAATGTAAAGATAAACTGATATATACATTTTAGTTATTAATTTTATCAGTTAACCGATCCCCGATATGTGCTGCCGATATTTTTTGGACGATATTTCTTTTTCTTCTACTGTTTACAAGTTGTCTCTGTTTTAGCAAAAAAAAAATATCTATAAACAAATAAAACAAAATGTTAATAAAAGCTAGCTAATGGTGGGAGCAGCGATGCATGTGATCTCAAAACATGGCTGCTGAATGCACTAATGAATCGGCCAAGGCATGTAGGTATCGACCGATAGGATACATAAAAAGAGCCGTAATATCAGCCAAAAATATCAGCTGGCTGATTTATCGGTCGATTTATAGAGTTTATTTGTAGCACTTTGAATTGTCTTGTTTCTAAAATGTGCTAAACTCACCCTGCCTTACGGAGAGCTGGATTTTTTAATCACTGGTCTATTTTTTTCTCTGGTAAAATAGATGTTTTTATTTGGATGGAAGTTCATTAAGGAGAGTTCAATACAAAGCTGTGAAGAAACACAGACATAGATTATTCACAGTATGTTAAAACGGGGTATTAATGTTCGTATTTTATAGATTTTAGTAATAGCTGGTACTCCTATGTTTTATTGTTTTTAATAGTTGCACAAAGGAGCAAAGTAGCACTGTCTTAGCTCTCTATAGAATCATTCTACGTTTGTTCTGTCCATCAGCACAGCAGCGTCTTTGCATCACTTCATCCATGCTCAGTCAACCCTGTTAACAGCAGGCGAAAGATTTGGACTCACGTAAGCTTCATAGTCACAGGACTGAAAGATGAGCTTCTCCGGATGATGCTGCCAGTACTGAACAGGAGTGGAGGATGTCGCCTCGTTTGGCGGACGCAACGTAATCGGCTCACACCATTCGCCAGCCTGAAACGACAAGCAAACACACATTAGTGTAGGTGGGTTGGCTTATTCTGTCACAGCTTTTTACTGGTCTTCTGCTTTTTCTGACAGTTTAGGAGGAAATCTGAGAGGAAATTATACTCATACATGTCCTGCTAAATCTTTGCTTTTCTAACATGGAGATTTCTTTAATCCAAACTACATACTTCTCAAATATCTGGACATATCAAGCTTACCGTTTGGCCCATTGCTTTATAATTTAACACTGATTTTTGCTGCCTGAGAATGTGTTCACAAATCCAGGGACTGTTTGTTCAGAATATGGGAGAGGGGAGATAGATGTGAGGTTTATAAACCCGCTGTGACCAAATCTACAATTTAACTGATTAGATATTTATCTTGTATTAAAACTAATAAAGATATATTTTAAAGAACAAGATGTTCCTGAAGAGTGAACAGCTGTTATAAGACATCTAATCTTGCAACAGAAGAAAGATCTTTCCTCCTGTCACTGTTATCTCTCTATTCATGCAAAGCTGACATCCTCAAAGTGTTGGTTCATGATAAAAAAAACAAACAAACAGAAAAGTGACAAGCACTGCGACACACACACATTTGGGATTCAGAGGGATATCCGTAAATGTTTAAGTCTGCACTGATGAGCTCTGTGCTTCACAAAAAGACCCCAATCATAGGAAATCAAAACACAGCTGTCTGAATTGCAGCACAGTGCTGATTAAAAGTCAAAAGGCCTCAGAGTTGGATGCAATTAAAACTTCTTCGAAAAAAACAGAAAATGTTAATTTGGTGAAATTGCTTTAGATAAAACCAGGTATAACTACAGGCTGTTCTATAAAAGTCTGGTGTTTTTTTTCCCTAATATATTCAAATGTATTTAAAACCAGTTTAAAAACATTACAAATCGATACTGAAAAGAGCTTTAACAAAAACGCTGCATTCGGTTCTAAATGAACACACCCCCACTTTAACTCCCACCTGATGTCTGAGAAAAGTAATTTTTACATCAGGTCTAATTCATACTCGTCGTCTTTAGCTAATCTGGAAAAGAGTTATGGAGGCAGCAGTTTTAATGGACACCTTCTCCTGCTCCTTCATGTAAGCCAGAGGCGTTCCAATGCCAGCTGGGAGATGCAGTCTCTCCAGGCTGTCCTGGTCCTCCTCTAGGAGCCTCCTAAGCTGACTCCTCTCGATATGGAGGAGAAGCAGCTCTACCCAGATTCTTTTCTTGACCTTATCTCATCACAAAAGACCAGTGCAGCGTCTGTATAATGGCGGCAGACACACCAACTCATCTGTTGATCTCCTGCTCTATTCTCCTCTTATTTGTAAAAAGGACCCTAAGATACTTTATCTCTTCTACTTGAGGCAGGAGCTTTCCTTCGTTAAGAGGGCAAGGCACCTTTTGCTGACTCAGAACCATGATTTTGGAGCTCATTCTCAAATAGGGCATTTTGCATTCTGCCCTGGTGCATGCTGTAGGTTTTGAAAGGAGCGAGCAATCAGGACCACATCATCCACAAAAAGCAGAGAAAATTCCAATCTGGTCCTTGGCTGCACCTAGAAATCCTGTCCATAAGGCTAATGAGAATGACTGGTGACAGAGGGCTGTCCTGTTGGAGTCCAACATGCACCAGGAATAGGTCAGACTTCATGCTGGTAATGCAAACTCTTGCTCTGCTTACTCCTGATGCGCTCCGACCCCCCACCCCCCATTAGGCACCATGAGAGACATGGTCCAATGCTTTCTCCAGGCTCACAAAACACATATGGATCATTTGGACAAACTGCCACGCACCCTGGAGCACTCGGCAGAGAGTATTGAGCCAGGACCAAAACCACACTGCTCCTCCTGAAGTTGAGGTTTGACATCCAGCCGGACTCCCCTTTCTAGCACTCTGGCATACATCTTCCTGGGGAGGCTGAGAGGTTTGACCCCTCTTCTAGATGGAACATACCCCCGTCCACCCTCTTATGGAGGAAACCAACCTAGTCCTACAGTCTGATGACCCTGTCCCTGACTTCAGTATCAGCCAGTCAAAATGCTTTTTTTATCTGACTCCACCATTTCACTGAATTACAGGGTCTGACCGGAAGATAATGCTTCTCTTTAGACCTTAATGTCCACAAATCAGGCCAGAAAGAATATTTAGATGTTTAAAAGGGAATTGTAGGGGACTACCCAAGGACCAGCCAAGGGCCCATCAAGTAAAGTGGGGAAATGTTGAATGGCTACTACTGTACATGTCAAACGCATCCAGAGACCAGCGGTATTCTCAGCAGCTCTTATGATTATGATTTTGATCACCATGGGGAATCCAGCCTGGATGATGAACAAATCTGACCCTGATCATCCAGTATCTGCTGCCACCAGGAAATGTCAGAGGAAATCCTCGAAAGTGTTCCTCCCACCTTCTGACAATGTCCTCAGTCACGGTTAGCAGCTCCGCACTCACACTGTAAACGGTGGTAGCGAAGGACTGCTTTCCCCTCTGGAGGCGCAGGACAGTTTGCCAGATGGCTTTGAGGCTGACTGATCAGCAATAATTGATAAACATACCATTACTCAGCATTTAAATCTCAGTCAGATCCAAAGAATGTCTGGACAAGGAAGAGAGGCTGCAAACGTTCTGGCACTTTTACATATTAGCAGGTCGTGCAAGTACCTGAAATAGGCTATAATTGCAAAACAAACAAACTAAAAGAGAGTAGCGACAAAAATTCCTTAGATAGACGTCAGAGACTCACAGGCGGCTGAAAGAAGCGTCTCAGAAGTTATTATAGAGACAGGCTGCTATGTTCTAACCTTTTTGTGATACTTTCTTAAACTTTTGTTTTATTTAATCTGATAATTGATCAGAAACACTCAAACACAAAGGATAAAGGAGAACATTTTGTAAATAGCAGAATAATTTAGTATTTTTATGCAGAGGAAAAAATGTTTTCGTTTTAATTATTATCAAACTAATCTTCCTAAACTATGGGAGGATTATTTTTCCTGTGAGAGTATGGACCATTACTGATCAGATTTCCGTGCTGATGCATCCTATTCCTCCTATCCTTACCATGCTGACTTGAGCCATCTGTCGCTCCAGCTTGGATCGCGGCACGTCGTCAAAGTAGTTCTCGGTGCTGCGCTGCCTGCGCCGTGCGTCCGCCTGCATAATGAGGTGCTGCACGTCCAGAGATCCACCGGGGACCCCCGCCGTATACGCTGCCTGGCCTACCGAAGGACTGAGCTGAGGAGGAGTGTGGTTTCCTCCAGGTTCCTGGAACAGAGCAAAGATGAGAGGTTTCATTCATTATTTCATAATGTGCTTTGCCACTTCTTCTACTGCAAGAGCAGAAAATAAAAGCACAATAATATCCCATTTATTTTTCATAATTTTTGTACTGTGTTTACAGTAACATCATTAACTAATAGAACGTAAGGAAACATGGTTCAAATTCAAAGGCTTTTTTCCTGCATAATATCATATTTGAAATAATCTATAGACAGTTTTTATTGTTTTGCAGTCTGTAATGGATCCAGTAATATAACAGAGAATATCAACCTTGTAATATAGAATAGTAACACGGGAATAGGAGCCTTTCTGGCGACCTCCATATAATATTTTTTTTCTACTAAGCTGGTTTATGTTTTTTTTTTTTTATCAGCAGTCTGCTTACACACTGGAAGATGATGAAGCTTACACTAATCATCTTAACAGAGTCATAAATTATAATCTAAGACATCAAAAATAATCTGACTTGGCTTCAATCATAAACTGTAAACACAGATTTGTAATTACCATAGGGCTGAAAAACCAGGTCATATAATAGATCCGTTACTCTACATTACTTAATCGAGTCTAACATTTTAAAGGAATGATGGCTTTACTTTTGCAACCAGACAGCAGCATGTAGTTCTCTGTGGAAAAGTCATAAATTACAAACTAGAAACATTAAGCAGCAAAAAAAATAAATTAAAAAAATAGAACTATTAATTTAATGTTAAACAATATCATATTTACAGCTTTCTCAAAGTAGTTTAGTTTTCCTTCTAGTAGCGGTTTAAATAGAGGAGAGGAAAACTAAGGAAAGGGTTGACTTTTTATGCAACACTGGAAAATTTGGGAACTTTGACAGCAGGGAGGCTTTACTTGGTTAAAAAAGGAAAGGACTACTTTTATACACAGCACTAAATTCATATTTGTTAATCACTTTATTGTTCCAAAATGGGGAAATTCACTCTCTGCATTTGACCCATCCCCTTGGGGAGCAGTGGGCTGATATTGTGCAGCGTTCGGGGAGCAGTTTGGGGATAAGAGTCTTTGCTCAGGAACCCAGAGTGCAGGCTGTGGGGATCGAATCTGGTATTTGCAACCTTCTCAGAGCACAAGCGCATTGCTCTAACCCACTAGGCCAACACTCCCCACTCCCCCATATTTACTCTGTTAATTTCCATTTTGTGTACTTATATAGTTTATAATGCATAGAGATACAAAAAAAAAACAAATAGCGCATCTGAAGTTTTGTATTTATGAACTTTAAAATCTTGCTAAAGCAAGCCTTAAAGGTACTGTTCACTGTTTTTCCAACAGTATACCGGGAAATTACTTTTGTTACACGCTGTATCTGGAGCGTGTAACAAAAGTAATTTACCTCTGGGATTATTAAAGTATTTCTGATTCTGAATCTGATATACCATCTGCTTATTTTACTCACCCGTAAGGAGATGGCCCGCGGAGGTTTTTGTGGCGTGTCGTCGTGTAGCCGATCCCCCAGTGATGCCAATATCCGCTTTCTGTGTCCAATGAGATTGATCTTCAACACCTTAACGAACACAGAGATAGAGTATTAAATAATGTTTCAGTGATTAAAAAAAAATAAAAATATTTCAACACCTTGAAAGTTAATGCTGCCAATATACAAGTTATGCAGGTACAATGTGTTTAAGATGGAAAGAATTAAGCTGCTTTGGCATAAATCAAGTGGTTCATATCTGCAGAGTCTCATTCTTAGAAAGAGAAAGTAGAGCTTCAAACACAGCAGTAAAGGTGCTAATCATCCATTTAAGGAGTGATAAAATTAAAAACCAAAGCTTGATCGACTAAACCACAAATTGGAAGGTATCTATTTGGAATAGAACTAAAGTCATCTATTATACTTTTTATTGATAAAAAAAAAAAAAAAAAGCTTAAGTAGAAGAATACTTCAGTCCCCCCACAGGAAATTGTAAAAACACCAGGTTTCTTTGTCAAAGCAGGTCTAAATGTAGTTGTTTCGACTCTCCAGTGCCTTTTCTGGTTCGTAAAGCTCCTAAAACATTTCAATAAAATAAAATGAATCATCCTCTATTTTATACGTTACTTTGTTAACTTCACTAGTGTCACTTTACCTGATGGGACATAAAGTCCCCCTTCTCTTTAGAAATGGGAACAACAGGGCAGATTGCCATATAAACTTTATTATCTTCTAAATGGCATTCTGGTTCTGTACTAAACCAAAAAACTATACCTAGAGCCATTTTCCAGCAATGTATGCAGGAATATTGTAGTCTGGGATTATTTTATTTAGAGTCCTACTATTTATGGATAGAAAACAGTCATTATTTGGAGTTCAATTTAACAGTATAGTGGACAGAAATGCAGGTAAGAAATGCCCAATCATATTAACAATAACTGTACATCCGTCTCACCATCCTACTAGTTCACCTGCTCCTCAGAGGGAACGCCTATCAAATATGCATTCACAAGCCTTGTCAACCATATGCACAGCTATATTTAGTCTGTCTGCATGCCTTCAAGACAATAACTCAAGATATTTACATTTTACTGCGAGATTCACCACTGAAATCAAAGCTCACTGGATTTATGAAGCACAATGGCGTTAGATGAGCACATACTGTACCACAGTGTGGTATGTGGGAAAACCAGTAGCTGAGGAACGATCATCCACTGTACCCTTAGAAAGTAAATTTTTTCCTATTACCATATTTTTTGTAGTTTATATAGATCTACAATTGATTTATATGTGTAGGTTTATGTGTGCATGAGTAGCATAGGGATATATTTATGTCTTTTCTTATCTCATGTAGCATCATTTCATTATGCAATGGCTGAAGTCAAATCTAGTAAACATGTTGATGATATATCAATATGTGAGAACAAACTGGATGCAGTAATTTGTTAGATTTGAGGCTATAAATGTCAAATTTGATGACTTTAGACCAAGTTTGAGTTTCCCTCACCTTAGACTTTGAAGCCTAACCTATAAGTCACTAATCGAGACAAGCTACTAAATCTGAACTCAACCTGAGAATTGATAAGTTAACTTTCATCTAATATTTGATTCTAGTTTCTGCCTAAGGTTCTTTCATAGGACCGAGTTCCCCTGAAGAGATTCTATCTGTAACCCATAAGAGACGCAAAAAACCTACATGAAACTGTGACAAGTTGGTAATTGTCTATAGGCTGACTAGAGGCCCTCATTAACCAAGCACAAAAGAGACAAAAAACACTCCAACTAAATCATCCATTCTGCCCTCGGTTATAGCCGAGCTGCTTGTGCCAGGTACTGAATTTTCTGAAGAGACAAGCAGAGACTCGGCAGCCGTCTGCAAGGATGTTGTTGGCGCCATCTGCACCTTCTGGCATCACACAGCTACACAATAAATTTCTGCAGAGTTTTATGTGGCTGCTGCTTGCTTCCAATAGGTATAAAAAAGAAAGCCTGTGTGGTTGTCTCTAGGGGAAGGCATAGTAGAATAAATCTCTGGTGAATTATTGTAAATCTGTTAAACAACGTAAAGTCTGTAAATAACCAATCACGACAAACTAGCTGGAAACTTCACTGTGCAGAACACCATTTTGAATAGGTATTGAATCTTTTTCTTTACTCAGATATTTATATTTGATTCCAGCTAAAGAAAAACTTGTATATTAAGAGAAAAAGCGCAAAATAATTTTTTACTTCTGTGTTTTTGTCTCATTGGATGTTGAGGCACCAGACCCCTGCATTTGAAAATGTCATCTACAGATTACACTTCAGTTTGACCTTTCTCCCTTTTATCAATCCTTTTTTTCTCTTCTTGGCATTTTGTCACTCACGCAAATTACAGCTTATCATAATAGCTACCGAACCAGTTGAAAAGTCATTTCTGAGAATATTTGCAGCAAAAGTAGAAAATGTCCGGGATGATGTGTATGCACCGCCAATATAAAAAGGTTATAAAATCCTGTGCCTCCTGTGGGGTTGAATCATGACTCAGTTCTCACAATCCTGTGTTATTACAGACGAATAAGCACACACAAACGCATATTAACCCCTCCAGGGGGAAAAAAAGCACAATAATTGCCCCACATGGTGTGAACTGGTGTGCTACTTGTTGCCTTATGCAACAGCCTCTACTTCAGATACACTAGAAGCCTCAACCTCAGCCTGGAGTTCAATTCTCACCATAGCAACAATGGTTGCTGCAGCAGTCACCCACACACACTCTCATCCCTCTTAAAAAAAAAATCTAAAAAAAATCAACAACAAAAAAATCAAAAAATCAGTGAGCTCTCACTCTAATGCCAGCAGCCTAAACAGTTGTTAAAAGTGTGGGGGAGAAGATTATATCGTTGCTCTACAATGGATGAGAATTAACCATTATTAAAACACACACTTAAGCCTCTGTGATGGCACACCGCAACATCAGCCTGTTTCACATTTAAATAATTATCTATGCATACGCAAGTGTTGCACTTCTGTCACCGCATACTTCTAACACAACAGCTCTTCATTAAAGCTAAACTCGATTCAAATCAATTGGAGAGATATAACCTTGATGAGGCAACGCTTTTGTTCCTGCATGACTGGGGAATAAAATAAAGCAGAGAAGTATTGTGGCTGTAAGAGGTTTTCATACTGCTTAAAGTTTTTTCCCAATTTCAACCCTGATACAATAGACCACAATAATGTTGGTCATAATTTTGAAGTGGAAGAAACAAATGTTTTATTATTCTGATTGGTTGGACGGATGGATGGACAGATGGACGTATGTACAGAGGGGTGGATGGATGGATTGATGGATGGACATATGCACAGATGGACGGATGGATGGATGATGGACTGACGGACGGGTGGATGGACGGACAGATGGACGTATGTACGGATGGGTGTATGTATGGATGGATGGATTGACGGACGGGTGGATGGACGGACAGACAGATGGACGTATGTATAGATGGATAGAAGTATTTATGGATGAATGGATGGATGGATGGTTGGATGGACAGACGGACTGGTGGATAGATGGACAGACAGATGGAAGTATGTACAGACGGATGGATGGATGTACAGTATGGATGGATCACTATTAAGTTCGTCAACCAGGACGATGACTTTTTCCCGTGACGATGACGAGACGATGACGTACATATTTTTTTCCAGAAAATAAATATGAGAATAAAAAATAATTTTCGATAACGAGACTAAGACCAGATTAAATTTACAAGCCATGGACGAATGGACATTCAAAAATGAAAATGTTTAATTAATTTGTAATTGTTAATATAAGTGTTTCTTGAAATTCACAGAAGATTACGCGTTGTTGCCCTGTTTGTCCCTACATGGCGCCTGTCCCACAGTGCCTCATGCCGCTCAGTCAGTAGTAGCACAGAGCTTATACTGGTAACTGGCAGTAGTTACCTGAGGCAAGCTCAACTACCCAGTCATGGTGTCGGGCTCGGATACGGTGTACGGTTTGTTCGAGGAGCTGGGCGAAAAACAATGCCTGGATGTATGCTGCCTTTATGTTTACAACTCGAAAGGACAACAGCCTGCATGATAATAATTGATCATGCCACCGATGACGGTGGTGGCCAAGATGTGGAGACACCGGAGGAAGGATGCCACAAAAGAGTCTGCAGGTTCAAAATGGCAGGGAAGAACACAATAATTCTCAAGCGACATCTGAGGTGCCAACATGCTGCCATATGGAAGAAGGTAAGGAATGGTTGGGCCTGTAGTAGTAGGATCGGATGGGCCTGTAGTAGTAGGATCGGGTGGGCCTGTAGTACTAGTAGGAATGGTTGGGCCTGTAGTAGTAGGATCGGATGGGCCTGTAGTAGTAGTAGAAACGGGTGGGTCAACTAGATACCTGACACAGTGACACCACAGCCAAATCAGACATGGTGGAAAGAAGGGAGGTCTGTTGCAGAGATGTTGGGAGCACCCCCAACGCACCCCCAATGTCAAAGATGTCAAAGAGCAGAAAGCCCTGGAGAACACGACAGCAAAGTGGATTGGGCGTTTTAGCCTGCATACAAGGACCATTGACCATGAAGACTTTGGGGATATGATGAAACAAGCCAACAAAAGGTTCAATGTGTACAGTGAGATATATGTTAAAAAGAGAATCAGTGTGTGGAGAAGTTCTATTCTGCACAGGGTTATATAAATAAAATAGAGAAAAAGAGAAGCAGTGTGTGGAGAAGTTCTATTATTTACAGTGTTGACTAAAATGACAAAAATTTGACTAAGACTAAAATTGATTTCTGTCACTAAATAAAAATAAAGTTGACGAAATTAATTCTGGTATGGATGGATGGATCTACGGACCGATGGGTGTATGTGCGGATGGACTGCCGTGAAAGGTCTTCAGTGTTATATTCCTTTAATTTTTTTGCTCTTTTCCAATGAATTGTCCTGTATTTCTCTCCTAAAGCATCACTGCATCTTGATGCTGCTACCATTTTTTTTTTATGGACAAGTTTAGAGTCTTGCATTTAATCCAATTTTATTTTCTGTCTCTTATGTCTAGGATACCTTTTTCCACATGGTTTCCA